GGGTCAGCCAGGGAGACTGCAACCGGTCGACCAAGCGGCGTGAGTGTGGTGCGGTCCCGAAAGAAGGAGCGAGAAGCCCCAGAGTCAAGTGTAAAGGTGAGGGAGGCCGAAGCCAACGCGGTACCTGAGAGCGCAGCCTCACCCGCACCTGAGGAAGCAGACTCACTAGCACCTAGAGCAGCAGCCGCACCTGTACCTGGAGCAGGAGACTCACTAGCACCCAGAGCAGCAGCCTCACCAGTAGCTAGGGCAGCAGGTCCTATACCTGGGTCAGGCGGGACGCACAGGTGACCGGCACGGTCAGCACTAGTAGGCAATGCATACATGGCAGTGAGTATAGCATCATAGTCAAGAGCAAATATATCTACCCTCTGCCTAAGCAACTCCACCCAGTCGGGAAGCTCAGCCTCGTCGCCAAACACGGTACGCCAGGCGTGGCTCAGACGGGCGAAGCAGCGGGACTGTGTATGACTAGGTGTCCCACAAGGCTGACCAGTCTGAGTACCAGTGCGAATCACGTAAGAGCAGCGAATAGCACTGAGAGACCCTCCACTCTGAGCGTACCACTCACGAAGCTGGCGAGTGTGAGAGACACGCGAGAGGGTCGCGGGAGCTGCATCTGGCCGCCACCACGAGTAGAAGCAGCAGGAGTGGTAGTAGGAGTAGTGCCGCCACCCCTACAGCCCCAACCAGCGTACCACTCACGCAGCTGCTGGGGCGTGAGGGACTCACGCAGGCGTCGCTGGGGCTGCATCTGGCTCCGCAAGTAGAAGCAGGAGCAGGACTAGCAGCAGGAAGGCAGGCAGCCAGGTAAGCCAAAAGGCAGGCAGGCAGGCAAGCAGGCGACGCGCAGTGTGCTAGCAGGGCAAGAGCTCACCAGTGGTGGAAAGAGTAGGCTCGGCGACTCAGCGGCTCGGCAGCTCGGCGGCTCTGCGGCTCGGGCGACGCGGGCGGCTCGGCGGCAAGGCGGCTCGGCAGCAACTGCAGCTCAGCAGCTCGGCGACTCGGCGGCTCGGCGGCAGGGCGGCTCGGCAGCAACTGCAGCTCAGCAGCTCAGCGACCCGGCAGCTCGGCGGCAGGGCGGCTCGGCTGCTGGGCGGCTCGGGTGCAGGGCGGGGCCAGCAGGTGCAGTTGCGGGGCCGGTAGAAGGGGACGGCAGGAGCCGTCAGGAGGGGACGGCGGGGCCGTCAGGAGTGGACGGCGGGGCCGGCAGGAAGGGACGGCGGGGCCGTCACGAAGGGACGGCGGGGCCGTTAGGAGGCGACCGGGCCGCGACGGGGCGGCTGGGCCGCCTGAGAGCCGAGGCAGGGGCCGCGTCAGGGCCGGCGGCGGGGCCGTAAGAGAGCCGGGGCGGGGCCGCAAGAGAGCCGGCGGCGGGGCCGCAAGAGAGTCGGCGGCGGGGCCGCGTGAGAGCCGGGGCGGGGCCGCGTCAGGGCCGGCGGCGAGGCCGCGAGAGAGCCGGGGCGGGGCCGCGATCAGGAGGCGGCGGCGGGGCCGCGTCAGAGCCGGCGGCGGGGCCTCGTCGAGGCGGGCGGCGGGGCCGCGTTGGAGCCGGCGGCGAGGCCGGCTAAGAGCCGGCGGCGGGGCCGCGTCAGGGCCAGCGGCGGGCCGCGATCAGCGGGCGGCGGGGCCGCGTCAGAGCCGGCGGCGGGGCCGCGTCAGAGCCGGCGGCGGGGCCGCGATCAGCGGGCGGCGGGGCCGCGTCAGAGGAGGCGGCGGAGCCGCTGCAGAGGAGGCGGCGGGGCCGCGTCAAGCAGGGGTGGCGGGGCCGCGTCAGAGGGACAGCGGGGCCGCGAGAGTAGTGGCGACCCGAAGGGTCGCGAAAAAAAAATGCGCGCCTCGGGGCGCGCTTCGGTGGGCCCTAAAAAAAAAAACGGTCCTTAGGAAGGACCCGCTCTATACCATGTGAAAGATAAGAGAACAGGAATGTAATGACTAAGTCAGAGTTGGGTACAAATACAACCCTAGAAAGCTGTACCCCATATGTGCTACCCCACTATAGCCTACAAACATGCATCAGTTATAATACTCTGACAGAGTCTGAATTAAATCATCGGCTTTCCATCTTGTGCCCGTTAGGCAATGAGAGAAGAAATTAGAATTGGAAAGAAGAAAAGAATGAAAACAACTTTGCAACTATTTATATGCAGCTAAACAATTTGTGCGGTGACATGGGAGACTGCACTTGTGGTTGACGCCCAGTCCAACGCCTTAGGCGCGGCAGTGCCAGTTTCTTGACTGCCGCGCCACTGGCCATTTCGTCCGTGGCGATTTTGCCACATGCGCGGGCCACTGGCGCAAGTGGCGATTTTGCCACACACGCGCGCCAGTGGCGGACGTGGCGATTTCGCCACACACGCGCACCAGTGGCGCAAGTGGCAATTTTCGCCACACACGCGCGCCAGTGGCGCAAGTGGCGATTTCGCCAGATACGCGCGCCAGTGGCGCAAGTGACGATTTCGTCAAAATCTTACGCCACTGGCCGACATGGCAATTTCGTCACTGATGCGCCAGTGGCCGTTGCTTCATTCGCAGCCTATTCTCGGTTGTGAGCACGCCAAGTGCATCGCGGGCGCGATGCTGCACCCTTCGCAGTTTTGCTGCTGCAGCACTTGTCCTGACGTTGTTTCCATACTAAAAATAAATGTGAATTAAAAATGAAGACGTAGGTGGAGGCCAAATGGCCTCCAACCCTCGTTATGTACTTGATGCATTTGCAGCTGCGTTGATGCTCATTGCGTGGGAAACATGCATTTGCAGTTGCCTTGATTCACTACAGTCAGCTGCGCTTTCAAAAAAAATAATCATTTTTTGAGCAGGTGCAACACTGATCACTAGGGTTGCTCAAAACCAAAAATTAGCCCCGTGCTACACTACAGCGAGTTGCATAATATAGGGTACACAATTTAGCTCGACGTTCCTACTTGTACCTCTTGCCCTACTAGTCTAAGAGTGTGTAACTTTTTTTAACCCGACGGAACGAACCGTGGACCGTACGTCGATGCGAAGGGTTACCATAATCGTTTAATGTCGTGCAGTTGTTCGCCTGGATGTCTGCGACGTCGCTACTAGAACGAACCGTCATGACACTTTTTCCACTTTCCAACGACACGAAACACTGACAACGGACGGTACGAAACACAAACGGACTGTCCGCTTGTCCGCGCACGCGATTGGCGGGCGAATTTGGATTTCAGCGGACCGCCTCGCTAAAACATTGGACTCCAGAGGCGAAAATTGCGACGGGTTGTGACTGGCGTTACTAGTGTACATTTGAGGTGGCGAAACGAATACCATCGCAGCACCCTAGCATGTGGAAAAAGTGTCACATATGCATTCGTAGCGTCCGAAGTTGCAAACATTCAAACGGACGGTCCGTTTCGTTACAAACGTACCGTCCGTTTCCATATAATCGGACGGTACGTCAAAATCACAAAATGCAAAAAAGTTACACGCTCTAATCATCACTTCCGCTTGCTATCTTTGAGAGATACAGGATGCATAGTGATAGTGATGTATAAATTGGTTCAACGTATGGGTACTCACTACATATCAGGTACCAGGGTGAAAACGCCACTATTGCACAAATTAACCTTAATGTCAGCACCTCAGCTTATGGTAAGCACAGCTGCATGCCCTCCCACAGTGACGACACAGTACAGTCATACCCTCCATTGAGTGACCGGAAAAGGTTCATTTTCTTCCTGTACCGCCCTGTGTTACACTCAGCGAGTTGCATAATATAGGGTACACAATATAGCTCGACGTTCCTACTTGTACATCTTGCCCTACTAGTCTAATCATCACTTCCGCTTGCTATATTTGAGAGATACAGTATGTATAGTGATAGTGATGTATAAATTGGTTCAACGTATGGGTACTCACAACGTATCAGGTACCAGGGTGAAAACGCCACTATTGTACAAATTAACCTTAATGTCAGCACCCCAGCTTATGGTAGGCACAGCTGCATGCCCTCCCACAGTGACGACACAGTACAGTCATACCCTCCATTGAGTGACCGGAAAAGGCTCATTTTCCTCCTGTACCGAGACACAATCAGCTTGCCGCATGTGTCTCCTCTCTTCACGAAATAAAACCGACGGGTATTGCACTGAGGTCCTCCGGAACCCTGCTGCTCATCCACTAGCAAACACACCTGGTGTGGGCGGGGGGTCAAGTCACAGGATGGCTTAACACACGCAATGAGCATGCCATGCGCACCGTGTGAGGGCAGTGTCAGGAAGTTGTTGCCATCAAATCCAGCCTTGAGCCTATGAGTAAAAGAATCTCCAGATTGTGACATCAGCACCAAAACCATCACTAGACAACGGTGATCACTGTCAAGGTCAAGCTGGGCCTTGCAAGCTTGGCCTTGCAAGGCCCATGTCAGCCTTGCAAAGGGAACTGGATGGATGGCTCCAAAAGACAAGCACAGGCAGCATGTACAGTACATGTGGAGTAAGCACCCACTATGTGGAGAGAAGCAGCACAGCAGGTTTTGCCAACAGCACCGGGTGGCATTCGATGGAAAGAGAGAGGCAGGAAGATAAGAAAACTGTCTGAAAATACTGCTCAAAAGCGCTCACTGCAACCTTGCGCATGCATTTCAAAAGCGCTCACCGAGTCGAGCACAGAGTCGCCTCACCCAGCTGATGTGAGCGTCACTCCAACAGATTTGTGACCCACTCACCGAGTCGAGAACAACTCACGGGTGCAAGTCATCACAAATCACTCACCGAGTCGAGAACAAATCACGGGTGCAAGTCATCACAAATCACTCACCGAGTCGAGAACAAATCACGGGTGCAAGTCATCACAAATCACTCACCGAGTCGAGAACAAATCACAGGTGCAAGTCATCACAAATCACTCACCGAGTCGAGAACAAATCACGGGTGCAAGTCATCACAAATCACTCACCGAGTCGAGAACAAATCACGGGTGCAAGTCATCACAAATCACTCACCGAGTCGAGAACAAATCACGGGTGCAAGTCATCACAAATCACTCACCGAGTCGAGCACAGAGTCGCCCCACCCAGCAGCACCGGGCAGCAGGTGGTCGCAGTAGAGAGCGGGGTTGATGCGGAAGGTCTCGGAGTAGCCCATGCTGCTCCACCCGTAGCCAAATGCCGCCACCTGCTGGCACGTGTGCAGGCCGGGCTCGAGAGCCTTGTGATCCGTACAGGCTGCCACGGGGAAGGTGGGGGTGTTGCTGCTGTTCTCCACACATATGCGCTGCAGTGAGGATGGGGATGCAACGGGGGAGCGGGAGGGAGAGGGGATTGAACAAGGTTCGTTTTCCCTGGAGCGAAAGGTATGTCTTCAACAGTCAGCTGTATCACGGCTTTGAGTGTTTAAGGCAACTCGAGCTGACATAAGAAGTTAAGGACATTAGAAACCCTATTGCGAGACAAACTAGAGCTTTACCTTCATCTCTAGACTATTTGAAGGAATAAGGCAGCAAAACTATCTGCTGGAGTATGTGGTGTAAAAAGACAAAGTAATGGTGGCTTCTACAAAAGTGTCTGGACTAAAGAGCAAAGAGCCCAGGAAAAAAAAAAAAAAAAAAAAAGGGGGGGGGGGGGGAAGGGAAGGGATTGGAGCGCGATTTGGGTGCGATCTGACCGTTCCAGGGACGAGAGGTTGTGAGCAGTCAATGTTACGGTTGAGCTGTGTTATGTTGGTGTCAAGGATGCTGTTGATTGACGTGCACATGTCACCCTGGGGTTGGTCGGGGGGAAGAGATGGGTGTGTGTGAGTGCAGGTGGGGACGAAGTGTGTCTCACCTGGTTGGTGGTGCACATGTCTCACCAGGTTGGTGGTGCACATGTCTCACCAGGTTGGTGGTGCACATGTCTCACCAGGTTGGTGGTGCATATGTCTCACCAGGTTGGTGGTGCATATGTCTCACCAGGTTGGTGGTGCACATGTCTCACCAGGTTAGTGGTGCACATGTCTCACCAGGTTGGTGGTGCACATGTCTCACCAGGTTGGTGGTGCACATGTCTCACCTGGTTGGTGGTGCACATGTCTCACCAGGTTGGTGGTGCACATGTCTCACCAGGTTGGTGGTGCACATGTCTCACCAGGTTGGTGGTGCACATGTCTCACCAGGTTGGTGGTGCACATGTCTCCCCTGGTTGGTGGTGCATATGTTTGTGAAAGGGCTTACCAGAAGCACCAATTCGTGCCTCACCTGGTTGGCGGTATACATGCTGGTGCAGCTCTTGTTGGCAGATGCCGACACGTTGACTATCCACCCACGAGGTATGGGCTTGTCACATGCCATGCGCTGTCAAGGCAAGGCACCATGAAAGAGAACAGCGCAATATCACACCGACTGAATTTTCTGGTGATTGTTGAAGGGGCAATAGTGTAAGTCTCTGCCAGCACTTGCCATCAGCAGCAAACCCAGCTACCGATGTTGAGTAAAGAAAACATGACCAGATTGGCCTTTTGTTTTTTTCCTGTGCTTTTGTTGTTTAGATACACGTGATCAACACTTGTACTCAACATGGTCGAGTTTTATTGGGAAAAAAACAACTATGTAACTCAAAGTTTCTGGTCAGGTAGGAACTCGAGTTGGGTAAAAACTCGACTCGCATGGGTTAGAATATATCTCCTCTTGTAACCTGCATACATGTCATGAATAGGCTAGAGATAAGCACCCAAATAGAGTTTGGGTGTACAAGCCCGGGTAACCCAGTTTGTAGGTTGGAACCCAACCTTGGTCCAATTATTGGACCCCAAAAGGTTGGGTTGGGTAGAATTATTGGCTCCCTCCAATAATGTTGGCCCAACCCCAACTTGGCCAACATTATTGGACCCCACCAATAATCACCCAACCCAACTTATTGGTTGGGGTCCAATAATGGCTCCCTAAACTAGTGCCCAACCCCCAACTATGTATACCCCTACCATTTTCAATCCAAACATTCATTTCTACTCTAACCTTCATTTCCCACATGGTATAGAGCTCACTATCCTAGGCCTCCTCTCGTTCCAAAGGCCCACCCGGCCGCCGCAACCCCCGGCCTTCACATTTTTTTTCCGGCTCCTCCGCCGTCTTCCCCCTTTCCCCCCCTTAGTGCCCTCCTCTTTCCGCGGCCTCATCCCCGCCTCCGCGCCTACCGTCGCCGCGGCCTCCCCAGCCGCCGCCTCCCGCGACGCTCCCCCCCCCCTCACGGCCTCGTCGCCGCCTCCGCGCCCGCGCCGTCGCGGCCTCACCAGCCGCCGCCGCCCGCGCCGCTCCCCTCCGCGGTCTCGTCGCCGCCTCCGCGCTCGCGCTGTCGCGGCCTCAGCCAGCCGCCGCCGTCCGCGCCGCTCCTCCCCGCGGCCTCTACGCCGCCTCCGCGCCCGCGTCGCCACGGCCTCGCCAACCGCCGCCGCCCGCGCCGCTCCCCTCCGCAGCCTCGTCGTCGCCTCCGCCCCCGCGTCATCTCGGCTTCGCCAGCCGCCGCCGCCCGCGCCGCTCCTCTCCGCGGCCCCGTCGCCGCCTCCGGGCCTGCGTCACCGCGGCCTTGCCAACCGGTGCCGCCTACGCCGCTCCCCTCCGCGGCCTCGTCGCCGCCTCCGCGCCCGCGTCGTCGCGGCCTCGCCAGCCGCCGCCACCCGCACCGCTCCTCTCCGCGGCCTCGTTGCTGCCTCCGCGCCCGCGTCACCGCGGCCTCACCAGCCGCTGCCGCCCGCGCCGCTCCCCTCCACGGCCTCATCGCCGCCTCTGCGCCTGTGTCCACCGCGGCCTCGCCAGCCGCTGCCCTGCTACCTCGCGCCGCTCCGCGACATCGTCGACACCTCCCCACCGCCTCCGCACCCACGCAGCCCCACCAGCTGCCTCCACCTGCACGCTTCCGTGATCACTGCGGGTCCACCGGCAGCCGTCCCTCATGGCCACCCCCATACCCTCCCCCTCCCATCGACATTTCCTCCATTGATAAACTCCAGCTTGAAGCCGACAAATCTGCCATTGACTGGCACTCGTTCGTCGGCAGCATCCGCCGAGTCCTCAACGATGCATCGATCCCCCCCTACCGCGTCCTTGACGTCATCCTCCGCCGCCCCCATGCCCTCCCCACCACCGAACCTGACCACCCCGGCGAGACCCCTCCTCTCCCTCCTCCTCCTGGCGACCCCCCCCTTGAGCCCGAGCTCCGGATCACCGCCGACCAGGCCACCGCAGATGCTGATTTCATTATGCATCGCCGTGCTTACCTGATCCGCAAAGCCGAATACCATGCAGCAGCTATTGCCTACGCTCAGGCGGTGGCTGGCCGCACTGCTCACCTCGCCGTCGTTGCCAAATACACCGACGATATGGCTACCTTCACCTCCAAGTTCATCGCCTGGTCAGCCGCTGACAACCGAGCATGCACTGTCATCCTCAGTGCTCTCCCTGACTCCCTCATGCGCCGCTTTCAGGCCCGGGAACTCCGCGCCTCGGTGATATGGACAGAACTCCATGCTATGTTCGTACGCCGCGACATCAACTCGGTGGGAATCCTCTTCCAGGAATACTTTTCTATTACCCTCGCCACGTGTGACGGAGCAGTAGACTATGTCGGCCGCATGCGCGAGGTAGCCGATCGCCTCGAAGCCCGCCAAGCCGGCCTCTCCGAGCCCCTCCAAATCCATCGCCTCCTCTTCAACCTCACCCCTGACTACGAATCCCGCCTTCACGCCTTCACCGAAGCCAATCCCATGGCCGATCTCGCTTCAGTTGAACAGTGGATCATTGATACCGAAGTCAAGCTTCGCACCCCCATGGTCAACCTCACCTCCTCCCACCCTTCCTCCTCCTCTCTCAACGCTACTCAGCCCCGCAAGCAGGGCAAAAGCAACGGCAAGGGGGGAGGTGGGGGCAAGGGAGGCAGCGGCCAGGGAAGCAGCGGCACAAGCAGCCGTGGTGGCTCCACTGGGGATGAGCACGGCACCCCCAGTCAGAGCGGTCCCTCTGGGAACCGCGGGCCCCGCCCTGGAACTCTCCCTCCCTGCACCTATGTCCGTCGCTACGGTCCCCGGGCAGGGACACCCTGCGGTCAAACCACCCATCCCCCTAACACTTGCTTCAAGGCCCTCGATGATGCCTGGTACGCACGGGGCAATGTCGGCACACCTCCCCGCTTGGGTACCATCTCCCCACGTCCCTCCCCTGCTGACATCCAGGCCAACCTTGCCTACCTCCCAGCCCACCTCCCCCTCCTTGCTCCCCCCACGCCGTTCCTCAACCTGCACCAGCAACATCTTCTGCAGCAACAGCAGCAACAGCAGCAGCTGTTTCAGCAGCACCAGCCATAGCAGCAGCAGCAGCCCCCTTAGGGACCTGGGTTCCCACCCCAGTGGGGACCCAGCACTCCCCCTTGGCAGCAGCAGCAGCTGAACTTTGGCACAGGAGCCACAGCTGCTCAGACCTCCCCTGCTCCCCTGTGGGGTGCCCCACCTCCTCCTGGTAGTGGTGTCTCTCCCCTCACCCAGGAAAGTTTTCTTGGCAACATTGCGCTTTCCCCTTCTCTTCCTTCTATGTACCCCTCCACCATTAATGAAACCACTTTCCAGTACTCGGTGTCTCCCTCCTCCTCCCCACCCACTCTGGACTTCGTCCTTGATAGTGGGGCCACTGAGACTGCTCTCAAGGATGCTGGTACACTCTCACCCCTCTCTCCTCCCACTCAGGTTCACGGTGCTGACAGCAGTTTCACCATCCCATGCACACACTTTTCCACCCTTCCATGCACAATCTTCCCCTCTGGTAAGGTAACTGGTCTCCACATCCCCACCCTCCGAAACAACCTCCTCTCCCACCGAGAAATCCAAAATTCAAGTATCACTGCCGTCTACCCAGGTAATGCCACCTACTGTGACCTTTATCACACCGCCACCGGCCGTTTCCTCCTTCGCATTCCCCTCTGCCCCCGCACTCGCCTCTACACTCTCCGCACCCCTTGGCCATCATTTTGCCATGTCACCACTCGTGCTGGCACCTCCACTAACCCTCTCCATCCCCCCACCTCACCTCCACCCCAACGGCAGCACCTGCATCCACCGCAGCCACAGCAGGGGCGGCATCCGCGGCCGCAACAGCAACAGCCGCCTTAGCAGGGGCAACCGCAGGGGCCGCAGCAGCAACAGCCGCCTCAGCAGGGGCAGCCGCAGGGGCCGCAGCAGCAGCAGCCGCCGCCGCAGGAGCAGCTCCAGGGGCCGCGCCAGCAGCAGCAGCCGCCGCCACAGGAGCAGCACCAGGGGCCGCGCCAGCAGCAGCAGCAGCCGTCGCCACAGGAGCAACACCAGGGGCCGCGCCAGCAGCCGAAGCAGTAGCAGCAGCAGTCACCTCCCTCTCTCCCACCCTCACTCACTCCAACCCCCTCCACCTCCGATCATCTCTCCCACCCCGCTGTTCTGCTACACCACCGCCTCGGCCACCCCAATTTCGCCGCTCTCCGCTCTGCCATCACCTCCCGCCTCCTTCACAGTCTCCCTCCCACTCTCCCTCCCCTCCTTTCCTCTCCTGCCCCTCCATGCCCCTCCTGCATCCACGACAAACTCAAACAGTCTCCCCATCACAGCCACCCGTCCTTTGCTCCCACTCCAATTGACCTGGTCCACATGGATCTATGGGGACCCTCCCCCACTCGCTCCCGTCAGGGCCATCGCTACATGCTGGTCCTCGTAGATGACCACAGCCGCTACTCCTCCATCTTCCTCCTCCACACGAAAGACCAGGCACCAACTGTGATCACCCACTGGGCAGAGCAATGCCACACCCACTTCAACCGTCCCATCGGCCGCCTCCACTCTGACGGTGGCGGCGAATTTCTCAACCGCACCCTCTCCCACTACTCCGCCGCCCATGGCATCCAACAGACCCACACTCTTCCACACTCCCCACAGCAGAATGGTGTCGCCGAAAGCCACATCCGCGAAATCACCAAAATCGCTCGTTGCCTCCTCGCTCACGCCTCCACTCCTCCTTCCCTTTGGAGCTATGCTTTGCTTCATGCTGCCCTCCTCCTCAACCTCCACTCCCATCCTCACATTGCCATCACCCCCACGGAACTCTGGTCAGGCACAAAACCTGACGCTGCCGGTCTCCGTGTCTGGGGGTGCAAGGCATATGTTCTTATCCCTCCTTCCGACCGCTCCCAAGGCAAGCTCGCTTCTCGAGCCCTCGAGTGTGTCTATCTAGGACACAACCGCAACTCGCCTGACTACCTCTTCCTCCACCCTCCCTCCGGTCGCCTCATCCGTAACATTGACGTCGTCTTTGACGGATCCACCCCGTACTACTCCTCCCCACCACCAGACCCCCTCCCTTCCCCCACCCGTCCCCTCGCCTGGACCAACACTATCCTCCCTCCCCTCCTCCCCCCCGCACCTCTCCTTCCACCTCTCCCTGTTCCACCTCCACCAACCTCCTCTGCTGAAATCTACGATCCTCTTGCACCTGCATCCCCTGCTCACTCCGCCGCCCCCCCCCTCCCCTTCCCCTCCTCCCCTCCCTCCCCTTCTTCCCAGCAGCAGCAGCACCACCGACAGCACCAGCAGCAGCAGCAAGGACAGCAGCCGTAGCAGCCGCTGGGGCAGCAGCAGCAGCAGCAAGGGCAGCAGCAGGGGCCGCAGCAGGGACACCAACGGCAGGAGGAGCAGCAGCTGCAGCAGCAGCATGGGTTTCAGAAGCACCAGCAGCAGCAACGGTAGAGGGCGACTGCCCGCTCCTCACCCTTCCTCCTCCCTCGCATGCACACCCGCTCCCTTGATCCCATCCTTGGCACACCGCCTCCTCCCTCACTCAACCTACTAGAGGACCTCCATGAGGAACTCACTATGGTCCAGCGCCACACTTCCTCTCTCACCCCCCTCTACCCTGGCTTCCTTGGAGCACTTGTCCTTGCCGCGGTCTCCGCTCCCACCATCTTCGTCCCCTCCACCTTCCAGGAAGCTATCACCTGCCCCGATGCTCACAAATGGATAGCTGCCATCTTCCTGGAATGTGAGGCATTCATCCGCAATGACTCTTACATCGATGTCCCCCTCCCTCCTGACGCTAACCTTGTCGAGGGCAAGTGGATCTTCCGAGTAAACAGCTGCCGGGAGAGGAACCAGTCTACAAGGCCCGCTATGTCGCCAAGGGCTTTACACAGACTTGGGCTGAGGACTACTGGTTCACATTCGCCCCTACCGTTAAGCCACCCACCCTTCGCGCTCTTCTTGACATTGGCGGGCGAGACGACATGGAAATTGACTCCATGGACGTCTCCGACGCATTCCTGCAAGGCGAGCTGCACGAGTGTATTTTCCTACGCCGGCCTCCCAGGTTTCACGCTGCTTTTCCCGACAATACCGTCTGGCAACTACGTCGCCTAGTCTATGGTCTGAAGCAGGCACCACGAGAATGGCATGCAAGGCTGTCTGCCACTCTCCAGTCCCTTGGCTTCTCTGCCTCCCACTCCGATGCCAGCCTCTTCATCCGCTCCTCCCCTCGTCGCTTCTTCATCTCGGTCTACGTTGACGACATGATCCTGCTTGCTGATTCCAGGACCGACATGGACCAGGTGAAGCGGTCCCTTCAGGACCGTCTCAAGTGCAAGGACCTTGGTCCGCTGCAGAACTACCTCGGCATGACCATCACCCGCAACAGATCCGCCCGCACCATCACCCTCTCCCAGTCCCACTACATCAGCCAGGTGCTGGAGAAGTTCGAGATGGCGCAGGCCAAACCGGTCTCCACCCCCCTCCCCTTTGGTCACCAACTAGCACCTCCCACCTCCCCCTCCGCCTCCACCCGCCCCTATGGCGAGCTCGTTGGGTCGCTGATGTACGCGATGATGTGCACTCGCCCCGACCTTGCCTACCCCATCAGCGTCCTCGCTCGATTCGTCGGCTCCGGTCGTCACACTGAGGAACGCTAGACTGCCGCCAAGCGAGTTCTCCGCTACCTTCGAGGCACCAAGGATCACGCCCTCACATTGGGTGGCTCCTCCCCTCCCCTTCTCACTGGCTTCAGCGACTCCTCCTGGGCAGACTCCCAACCGGACCGCCGCTCCTCGCAAGGCTATGGCTTCACCCTTGGCAGCGGGCTCATCAGCTGGCGTTCTACTCGCTCATCTGCCGTTGCCCTCTCTTCCTGCGAGGCCGAACTCTATGCTGGCACCATGGCTGCACAAGAGTCCTGTTGGCTCTGCTTTCTTCTCGCCGAGCTTGGTGCCCCTCAGCGCTGTCCCACACTCTGGTGTGACAATGCCAGCACCATCCACCTCACCCAGGACCCCGTCTTTCACGACCGCTCCAAGCACATCGAGCTCCGCTACTTCTTCATTCGTGACCTCGTTCAGCAAGGCCTCGTTGCCGTTCGCAAAATCGCTGCTGAGGCCAACTTGGCTAATATCTTTACCAAAGCCCTTCTCCGCCCTGCGCACTCTGCTCTTCTTCGCCTCATCGGCCTCGCCCCTCCCGGCGCGCCTTGATTCAGGGGTTGCTACTCTCAAGCCTTTCCACATCTATGCAGGTTAAGGGGTTGTGTTAGAATATATCTCCTCTTGTAACCTGCATTCATGTCATGAATAGGCTAGAGATAAGCACCCAAATAGAGTTTGGGTGTACAAGCCGGGGTAACCCAGTTTGTAGGTTGGAACCCAACCTTGGTCCAATCATTGGACCCCAAAAGGTTGGGTTGGGTAGAATTATTGGCTCCCTCCAATAATGTTGGCCCAACCCCAACTTGGCCAACATTATTGGACCCCACCAATAATCATCCAACCCAACTTATTGGTTGGGGTCCAATAATGGCTCCCTAGACTAGTGCCCAACCTCCAACTATGTATACCCCTACCATTTTCAATCCAAACATTCATTTCTACTCTAACCTTCATTTCCCACAGCATGCCCATCTGTTAGTGAGGGGACTTTATCAGCACACCTGACCTCATCAGCAAGCTTCACCTTGTTGCTCTCCAGCAGCTCTTGAGGTGAGAGGTCAAAGATGTCGAGCAGCAGAGGGCATGTGAGACCAGGGGGTGCTGGGAAGAATGGCACTCGAGTAGCAGACTCACTCACTGGTGGACAGAGGACAGAAAAGGGAGAGAGGCAGAAAGGGGGGTATGGGGGGAAAGGGCAAGAGAAGAGATAGGCAAGGGGGGCCGGAGGTTAAGAAGCCAGAGCTGAAAGCTTTGGAGCAGAGGGCAAGTGAGGCTGCGGAGCCGGGATGATGGGCCCCACCCCACCCCACAGGACCAAGGCAGTCATTGGCAGACGAAGGGGCGTGGGGGGAGCGGGGGGGAGGGGGAGAGTAGAAAGGGCTCCAGCAAAGCGGGTAGAGGGGAATCGCATAAAGTGGGCGGCGACAAGAAGGATGGTACGGTGATGGACTCCCTAACATAGTGATTAGAGGTGGAACCCAGAGGAGAGAATGTGTGTGCGATGGGAGTAGGGAGGGATATCATAGGAAGAGCAGCGCTCAATTGAAGCGCATAGAAAGAAGTAGCCTTACAATTTTGTGCAGAATGTGTTTTTTTTAGGAACAAGCCTCTTAGCTGATGTAGGGTGCGAAGCTCAAGGTGAAGATAGGGTTGAGCAAAAAACCGAACAGGTTTTTTTTTTTTTGGCTTAAAGTGTTCGCCGAACAGTGTTCAAACGTGTTCGGGCCGCCGCTGCAATTTGCCCCGCGACGAACACGAACGTGTTCGAGGTTCGCCCGAACACGCCTTCACAGGCGAACGGCGAACACCATTTTTTGCTCAAAGTGTTCGCCGAACCGAACAGTGT